GATGAGGCTCTTCAAAGTTAGTCTTGTTATCTTTCCCTGACCATGTTTTCATCTTTTTGCGATGGCCTCAACTCTCGCGCATGAATCTGTCGTTTCAAGGAACCACAGCAAACGAAAACCGGTTTCATGATAAGATTGACCATCTCACTGAACCATCTCACCACAATGAGTATGTTCATGGTGATCAGAACACAGTTAAGTCAAATTATTACCAAGGTAGTTGTTGCTTCTTGTTCCCCTCTGTGTTTTTGTGTGGAATTCCTTGCGATTTCAGTTACTCCGCCATGCTCATACTTGCCATTTTTCAAGTAGGTCAATCCAATCCAGAAAATGGCAATCTTGCTGAACAAGTTCCATTTAACTATGTGATGAATGTCAATCCTCCTGAACAAGCTCCCTCTAGCACACATTCATCTCTGGATGCGGTCATGCTTAAGCCGGATGAGGTACTTCAAGGTTAGTCAGATATACGTTACCTTACCCTTACTATGTTCTCATCTTTCTGCGATGGCCTGAACTCTTGAGCTTGAATCTGTTGTTTCAAGGAACTGCAGCGGATGAAAATCGGTTTCATCATGTCACTGATAGGGTGTTTGTTTCCAGGGACTTATTGGTTTAGGGATTAAAAAAGTCTCTATAAGTCCCATCTAAACCAAACAGGAGGAATTTAGAGCATCTCCAACAGGTGCGGCAAAAGGCGCGTCCGCGCGGTAAAATTTGGTTTTAGCGCGCGCCGGCTGGTTCCGCGTGCTCCAGCGGTGGCGGGAACTTACCGCGCGCGGGAAGCGTTTGCGCGCGCGGGGGAGAAAGCGGCACACAGCGCGGTAGATTTGGCGCGCCGCTTCGCGCTCGCCACGCGCACAGACACAGCCACGCGCCCTCCCCTCGCAACCTCGCCGCTTCGCCGCTTTCCGCACCACCATGCCGCCGGGGTTCTTCGGGCTACCGCGGCGTCCGCGAGCGCCCCAACGGCTGGTACTCCGCCGAGATCCGGTCCGGCGACGTCCGGCTTGGCCTCGGGTCGTTCCGGAGCGCGTACGAGGCGGCCCGCACGTACGACGCGGCGGCGTGGTGCTTGGATAGGCCCCGGTCGCAGATGAACTTCCGGGACGTCTTCACGCATGAGCAGGCGCAGCGCGTCGCCCCTCCGCCGCATCTCATCACCGACATGGACCGTGCCGACCACGCTCGGCGCTGCCGCCGCCTCCTCATCGCCGAGGAGGACGAGCGAGCCATGGCGGAGTGGCGCCGTCGCCACCCGGAGGACGTCGCCGACGAGCGTGCCTACTGGGCGGAGAGGACGGCAAGGCGCCGCGCGGAGCGGGCGGACCGGCGTCGGCGGAAGGCATTGGCGAATGCGCAGTGCGATATCGTTGCAGCAGGTGGGAGGTCGATCTTCACGTCAGACGATGAACGTTGGGACGACATGTGGCTCGATACCTCGGACAATACCGACGAGGATGATGATGGTGATGATAGCGACTTGGAGTAGTTTCTATCTAGTTGCACCGTAGTTCTATCTATCTATGCTTTCGAACTATCTATCTAGTTGCACCGATGTAAAATATCTTTGTATCGTTTTTTATCTATGCAATTTATCGTTTTTTATCTTATTATCTATGCTTCCGAAAATGTTGTAAAATGAGCGTGCGTGCTGCATTTTTTGCGCGCTGCTGGAGCAGCACGCGCGCTACATCTTAGCACGGCTGCTAGAGCCAGCGCTGCGCGCCGCGCCAAATCAGGTGATGGGTGTGCGGCAAAGCTGTTTTTTGCGCGCGGCGCGTTCGGCGCCTGTTGGAGATGCTCTCAGGTGCGGCAAAAGGCGCGCCCGCGCGGTAAAATTTGGTTTTAGCACGCGCCGGCTGGTTCCGCGTGTTCCAGCGGTGGCGGGAACTTACCGCGCGCGGGAGAAAACGGCACGCGGTGCGGTAGATTTGGCGCGCTGCTTCGCGCGCGCTTATAAAATGCCGCGCTCGCCACGTGCACAGACACAACCACGCGCCCTTCCCTCGTAACCTGGCCGCTTCGCCACCTCGCCGCTTCGCCGCTTTCTGTGCCACCACCGCGCCACCATGCCGCCGCGCCGCCGGGGTTCTTCGGGCTACCGTGGCATCCGCGAGCGCCCCAACGGCTGGTACTCCGCCGAGATCCGGTCCGGCGACGTCCGGCTCGACCTCGGGTCGTTCCGGAGCGCGTACGAGGCGGCCCGCGCATACGACGCGGCGGCGTAGCGCTTGGATAGACCCCGGTCGCAAATGAACTTCCGGGACGTCTTCACGCGCGAGCAGGCGCAGCGCGTCGCCCCTCCGCCGCGTCTCATCACCGACATGGACCGTGTCGACCACGCTCGGCGCTGCCGCCGCCTCCTCATCGCTGAGGAGGACGAGCGAGCCATGGCGGAGTGGCGCCGACGCCACCCGGAGGACGTCGGCGACGAGCGTGCCTACTGGGCGGAGAGGACGGCAAGGCGCCGCGCGGAGCAGGCAGACCGGCGTTGGCGGAAGGCATTGGCGAATGCGCAGTGCGATATCGTTGCAGCAGGTGGGAGGTCGATCTTCACGTCAGACGATGAACGTTGGGACGACATGTGGCTCGATACCTCAGACAACACCGACGAGGATGATGATGGTGATGGTAGCGACTTGCAGTAGTTTCTATCTAGTTGCACCGTAGTTCTATCTATCCATGCTTTCGAATTATCTATCTAGTTGCACCGATGTAAAATACCTTTGTATCGTTTTTTATCTATGCAATTTATCATTTTTTATCTTATTATCTATGCTTCCGAAAATGTTGTAAAATAAGCATTCGTGCTGCATTTTTTGCGCGCTGCTGGAGCAGCGCGCGCACGCTGCATCTTAGCGCGGCTGCTGGAGTCAGCGCTGCGCGCCGCGCCAAACCAGGCGATGGGCGCGCGGCAAAGCTGTTTTTTGCGCGCGGCGCGTTCGGCGCCTGTTGGAGATGCTCTTATAGAGACTTAAAGTGGGCATTTGGGACTTATGAAATAAGATTCTCATGGAGAAACTTATAGGAACTTATAGTTGTAATATGGTCTTTTAGTCCATATTAAGTCCCAGGAACCAAACATGTAGGGACTTTTTAGGGACTTGAGACTTATAAATTGGGACTAAAAAAAGTCCTAGGACTTATGAACCAAATAGGGCCTGAACCATCTCACTCCAATGAGCATGTTCATGGTGATGAGAATGCAGTTAATACACATTATTACCAAGGTAGTTGTTGCTTCTTGTTCCCCTCTTATCTCTTTATCCCCTTTGTTTTATGTATGGGATTCCTTACAATTTCGGTGACTTGGATATGCTCATACTTGGCCATTTTTTAAGGTGTCCCACCCCTTGGCCAGCAGCAACCTACAACATTCATGGCACCTTCACAGTTGGATGGTGAATTTCTATGGATCTTAGAAGGTGAGCAACCGGTTTCTGCACTAACTTATCAACAGCAAAACTGAACAGACCTGATAGATGACCCACAATTTACTCTGCTTCCAGGATCAGTTCAAGCAAACATCCATAGCCAGATGCAAGTTCCCATATCCATGGATTGTGGCAGTGCCATGTAGGCATCAACCTCTGTCCAACACAACCTTCTAGCGCAACCATTTGAAGTGCGGATATTTGGAGGCTGAGCTCCAGTGAGCTTGGTATTTTGAAAAAATCAAAAAGCGTATTTAAAAGTTCCAAAAAAATCTGAAAAAATACCATGAAAACCTATATGTATTTCGCAAGAACGTGTTAAATTTCGTCGAAAAAATGTTGTGATTCGTAGGCTGTACAAAAATAACAAATTTCTGGCCCAACAACAAAAATAAAAGGCCCATTAAAAAATGTGCATTTGTCTTTTTCCTGTACGCCACATGTAAACGTATAATACTGTGAAATTTTGCATATACATAGTATACATGTGCATGTGTGTTCAAAAAATAAATTTGGAATTTTTCGCACTCTAAAAAAATAAAAATTGAAAACGAGCTCACTGGAGCTCGGCCTCCGTTGGCATTTTCCGAACCATTTGTGCCTATTCAATTGCAAGAAAGCATGCCTGGGATCCATTACTCTGAGAATCCACCTAACCATGTCTCTGGACCAACGATATGGCAAGATGATCCCATCACCGAACCGGAGCCTAGTGCTTATCCTTATCATGGGCTGGATCATGGAAACCTTTAGCAAGCGGGCCCATTCTGCAATGCAGTTTAGGTCGTGTAACATCATGGTTTTGTGCCATTATAACTTAGGTGACAGGTTGTGATATATGATGTGCAGTATCAGGCCTTGTAGACTGTATGTTTGGACACAAAGTGCTTTGCCCCCATTCTTTCTATTTGATGTTCTAAACGTTGTACAATGATGTTGCGTAGGATCTGAGGGTGTGCTGCAACTTAGGCAAAACATTTTGTTGTCTGCGTGCACCCACTGACGTTAAATCGATGTTTATATGTTTCAGAATGTCTACAAGTGTAAACTGCGATGAATAGAAGACTGGTACTGTTCCGAAAAAGAAAGAAAATTATATAGCATTTTTTTCTTCTAAAAGGGTACTTATTTCACCAGGGTTTCGCATTGCAGCATGCCATATTTACCATGGTAATAAAGAGGGGGCATGTCAAAGAACTCTTTACATGATCATCTCAGACTGATACACAGGTTGTACCTCAAATGATGTCAACAAGTGCCTTGGCATGGCCATCGACAAGTGCCAACGAAATTACGACCCCATTGTATGATGATCGGTTAAGCCACTCCCCACGGAAAACAGAACGTATCTCTCAGCTTAGGTACATTTCTGGTACATGACTACATGATGCAAACTGCTTTGACGACAAGCAGATGCTTGAACTGCACACACATTGGGCGATATCCATCTGGAGCAATAACACAATAGTTCCACTCATAAAACGGATGGGCATAGGTATCCCAGGAAAACGTTCGGGGATAATCAAGTTTGAGAACACAGTACCTGACGGTGTGCAAATGACACTACTCAGAAGCTCCAGCGTCACCATTGGAGACATTTGTAAGTGTTCGCATGCGTTCAGTCGCTGCCAGTATCAGACCTTCATACCAAATTATATAGCAGCTATATCACGGTGATAAACGAGAACAGGGGCAAATTATGGCACTGCATTCATGGGAGAGCAATTAACAGGCCAGCATAAAAGCGTAACGGATAAACGTACCTGTAAATGGAGGCGAGGGTTTTCGAGGCCTCGACTTGAATTCTGGATGGAACTGAACACCTATGTAAAATGGGTGATCTTGTAGCTCTACAATCTGATCGTAAGTGCAAGCAGGTTCAGGCTGGAGAGGTTAAAAAACATCAAGACAATGATGAAATGGGATGTTTGCTCGGTACCTCCATCCTGTTTCCACTTTCATCACAACCAACAAACTGAAGTCCTGCATTCTCAAGCATTGGAACAAAGCTAGGATTGACCTATTTAAACAGAAGAAATTTTTATCACTTCCAAGGAGCATAAGGTAATAATGGTATAATAGACACATGAATAACACGGGGTTTAATAACCAACAGTCATGGCAAACCTCGTATCTGTGACGATGGCGCTCATCTACATGTGGAGGATTTCCATACCTGACATTTGCATTAATCTCCATGTTAGAAGGTGAACAAGATTGTGACAGAGCAGCATATATGTAACAGATGGTCAATGAGAAACACTAAGAGTTCAACGAAAGCTCCTGACGACATGCCGCACAAACAGTTAAATTTCATGGCTGTAGCAGTGGATAAATGTTTTAACACACTAGCATTCAGAAGCCTCACATATATCTGTCTAACAAACAAAGGATACAACATCCTTACAGTTTCGATGTCAGACAATCTGGTTTACGGAAGAACGTTCGACGGCAACCCAACCTCATCGTGTTTCCCATGTGTGTTTTTGATACCTTTACAGTGAATTACAAAAGCATTAAAGCAACATCATCTCCTTGTCTTGCACATAACTGGACAGAGAAGTACCTCAGGCATGTACATAACAACACGATCTGGTGTGTCTGTGTTGAACTCTTCACTGTCTGCATTTCCCAGGCCCAAAACCTACACCAGTATTCCTAAAAATCAGGGTCTACAAAGATAATTGGTTGACAAGTAATAAAAGGAAGCATACACACATGTCTGGACATCTCAATCACCGATATCTGCATTCCCAAGCATATGCCAAGATATGGTACTTTATTCTCACGAGCATATTTTGCAGCCAATATCATCCCAGATATTCCACGATCTCCGAATCCTCCAGGTATCAAAATGCACGAGGAACCCTGATTTATTTTAGAATTAGAACACTTTTAGAAGACTGAGCTTACATAGCCACAGAGGAACCAAGACAATCAGCATACTAACCTTAAGAGTTTCCCAAGCTTTAGCATGAGCATCTGGTGCCTGTACAAAAATGATACCACAGTAAGGTAGTCAAACACACAACAACAAAGCAAGGACACACGTCATATAATTGCTAAATTGACTACAGATACTAAATGCACTACAAATGTAATCATTGCAAATAAAATGACTTTGTACAGCAGCATGTTGAGCTAGTAGCATAGTATGCATTACATCGATATCTACAGCACTGAGATACTAATCGGCAGCAAGATAGAACAGATCATCAACATCAGTTGTGTTGGCAGAACAATGAATATTCCGCCTGCGGCCCTGCTCAGGAGCTTAACGACGACAAGATCTTCTTGGGCTCACATGGCCATTCCCATCAGTGTCCAAGGAAGGGTATGTATCCGGTGCACCCAACCTTGGTTCACTCGTCTAGAAGATGTTAAAAGGTTTTGGAAAAATTCAGCATGCAGACACAGTATATATATTTAACAGCTGTGAAGTTCCAATATAAAAATTTGAATACGGCTCAAGAAACAAAAAGACAAATCTCTCTGCATAGTAGCTAATCTAAATTCGGCAGCGAATTCGACCCATTATCGCTATCAACTTAATTTGTCATTTCTATTTCGTAAGTTATGTTTTGAATTTGGATTTGAAATTTTTAGACTGCAGTGTACTCATTGTGTCTATACCATCTATTTTTCGTAGAATTTTGCAAAATTTCTAAATATGTAGGTGGAGGTTGGGTGCACTGGTTGCACCACAAGTTCCAGTGCACCAGATGAGTTTCTCCCCGGCTGTACCACTCTTACAGCCTTAGCATTTGCTCTGGAGAAATGATAAAGATATCCAGGCGGGATAAGGTGTCAATGCCTCCAGAGGCAGGAGAAAACCTCTGAGGATAATCCGTACAGCCTGAGAGAAAACCAGCATATATCAACCTGTTTGGTGGGTCCCATGGAAGACTGTAGACCACATCCCTTGTGGAATTTCCTGGCTTTAGTAGCCCCATCAATCATGAATTCAGATCGTTTGCACAGGGTTACAAGCGTATATAAATGGTGCTCCCTACGTTCACTAATACAAGTTGTTCTAACTTTTTCCGTATGTAGTCCATATTGAAATATCCAAAACATCTTGTATTTGTGAATGGAGGGAGTATATAACTTAGGATTGTACCACACATTCTCCCGATGCATAATACAAGGAAGCAAAGCCTGGTGTGCTCTGTGTCTCACAGCCTCAGGCATTCCTGGACAAAAAGTCCTACCTCCAGCCAGACACAGAGCACACCTGCAAAAGTAGTGTTGCCTTCGCTTGCACCCTAACTTGTGTAAATGCTTCTGTCACTACTATTCCTGTGGACACCAACATGTCTATTGCTCACGTACACTTTCCCATCGCATATTAAGTTCATCGGGTCTACTGTGCTAGTACTCTAGCCAACATATCTTATGAAAAGCAAACTGTTAGCGGCTTACACTTGCAGCAGCTGCATCTTCAAGATCTGAAGCTGAAACCCACTGGATAGAAGGTTTCTGTGAACATGCAACACTGGCATGTAGGAGAGCCTGGAACAAAATGAGATGCATACATGAATTAAAAACAGTGTTTACATCTATAATAAATGAGACAATATTTATCATTAGTACAGCATAAAAATGGGGAAGTCCAGCCGATTGCTTCTACAGTAGACACCCATGGAGAGTTTTGACTGAATAGTTATTTCGCAGCAGAAGCAGAAATCCTAGTTATTGGAATCATTTTCATCATTGGCAAGCTTGATTTAAAACTATAATAAACCTTGTATGAGATGTAATGTTTGTAACTAGGAAAGACGCTTTTATATGTTTAAAAGTTGATTCTTGACCCACCTTCACCACTGATAAGTAAGAATCTGACAGATTAGTGTACTTCCCAACCAAAGCAATTTTAACCTGCATGGATCCATATTCAGTAAATTTGATTTTGCAGCATGCAATCAATAAAGAGAGGACTTGTAGAACAATGCTAACAGAGGTACTGAGGTTATCATATGACTCGGCCATCAGCGTCCAATCTCGTAATTCAGGGGGGGCAGCAGACCTATAAGACCAAAACATGATTGCTTCAAGACATACTAATAATAATGCCATGTATGAAACTGGTAAGATATTACTATCTCAAATCACAAACTGCACACTAATCATGCAAGAACAAGCATTCTCTAACATTCATTAAAAGGCAACGAATATATCCAGAAATACAAAGTGTAAGCTAATTATGCATAAAATATCAGCAGCGCCCATTTTTACCAAAATTATACAGGTAATATGAAAATTACAGTTCATACGTGCAAAGTTGAGCACATTTAACATTCATAAGCAATGGTTTTCATTAACCGTTTGACTCACCTGGAAAGGTTTAGTTGTTTGATTATAGCCTCGTGAGCCTTTTGGTTCTGGAAAGCAGCACATATAAAAATCTTATACCAAAGAGATGACTAAATGTAATTCGTACCAATTCGATAGCTTCCTCTACATAGTCAATGCTAAGCTTTTAGTTTAAGATTGAAACTCACTCTAAGAATAAGGGGAACATGCCATATATTTGGAACATCATGGATGTTAAGTATGTTCTCAACCTGCAAGAAACAATATAGAACGTAAGTAGGGAAATATTGTTAACAAAATGGCCTTTTTCAAATTCCTCGTTACGAAAGCATACCGGTACATGACAAAATTGTGAAAGCTTCTCCTTCGCGGATCCTATTAGTGGCTGAAAATTGAGATAAACATAGGAAAAACCAAGCCAGATTACAATGGCTTCTGGAAAAGGACTTGTTATCATGAAAGAAAAAGAAAGTCCAAATTCACCACACATTTCAACTAGTGTTCGTGATATGGAGAAGCATCTTAACTCAGAAGATGACTTTTACACAATTAAAATCTATCAATGTGAGAGATGACATATCTTAAAGCATACGATATTATTCTTCATGTTACCTGTGCTGATCGGCACGCTAGAAGATCAGGAGTAAGACCCAAGGCCCTTAGTTCTCGTACACTGTGTTGTGTTGGCTTAGTTTTCTACAAAAAGAAAGGAGACAAGAATATGAGGGTCATATATTTATGATTAGCTGCCTCGACAAAACACTGCAACACAATAATATACAAGGACGAGTGACATGTCCAAGTACGATCTGATTAGTATAATTCATGACGGGAGAATTATTTACTTGCTCACCAACTACACCCAATACTGGAACAAGGCTCACATGTATGAGGCAGAAATTGTCCTTACCTACAAAATATATATGGATGAGTGACATGTCCAAGTACGACCACTAACAAGAAAAACAAGTTTTTTAATAAAGAAAATATTGTCTGACTCCATAGCATAGAATTTATGGCCTGAGTTAGATCAGAGGTGTAGCTGTAATTGGTGGGAGGCCTTGGCACTACCAGGATGACCTTGATCAAGTGCCGTGATCATGGTGGTAATTAGACAGAAGAAGTGTGCATGAGATAGGCACATGAGGCATGATGAACTGGCTAGAAAATAACGGGTTGGGAAAAATATTAATAACTGCTTGACTGCCCTTTATTATGCAATCAAATTACAACTGGGATAGAATCCAACTACCCTATCCATACTTTCGTGATGCAGATTCCTTAATTTAAGGTTTCCTAATTCAAACTCTCCTTGACTCATCTTCAATCCTATAGATACGTATTTTAATGGAAAAAGAATCCAACTAATCCTACTGTTTGTGTGCTAGCCATAAGTCCAACCCCACATGACCGGTATGTCCAGTTAATCACAAAAAAGGAAGGCAGGAAAGACTAAATTAGTGTACTGTCAATGAATAAATAGAGAAGAGAGACAATGTGAAACGATACAACAGACACAGAAGCCCAGTAAACTAGCACATTCTCAGCAACCATGGATATGGGAATTAATTACAACAAGAAAACCCAACTATACCAAGAGAAAATGACAACTGACGTAGAGCTTCAATGAATGGCATTGATTCAATATCACCTGAAACATGAACAAAATCAACTTCTCCTCTACAATAGAAATAAGTAAAGTATCATACATAAGATGTCCCAAAACCCTACCTACAGTGCCGCCCAATTCGATAACACAAACATCAGCTGGACGAGTCTGCCCATCCACAGGAACAGAGGATACTGATTGTATCCATTGTTTTATTTCATCAGTTACATGAGGAACAACCTGGATAAATTTTAGTTGTAAGAGTGTCATACGCTGTCATATTTGGCATCCCGTGCATATGTGAACATAGCTTTGAATAACACAAGGTGGTTACCTGGACCGTCTTTCCAAGATAATCACCCTTCCTCTCCTTCTCAATGACAGACTGAAAAAAAAAGGCATCCACTGTTTAGAAGTTCAAGCGACAATCAGGAAGCCTTTTCC